CACTCTCTGTGACGTGCTGTCTACTGAGGCGTCGCACTGCGAACACGAGCCTCCCCACATGTTGGCCGGCGTACGAGCCAAGCCAACAAGGGTCATGACATACGTACTTGAGAGCTGACTTGTCACTTGAATCACTCATCATCTCTCCGAATCACAGTCCGCAAAACATACTGTGGGCGTGGCACAATCAAGAGGCGAAAGACCGTTAGTCCAGCGAAAGCAGTCGCGTGTATAAGAACTTTGGGTGCCTAATTCGGACACCATCTAATGTTGGCAATGACAGGTATCAAGAAGACACATACGCAGTTGCGTCAGTCAACATTCCACAACATGCATTGAAACGCAACGTTGTGCAATCTAAAGAAGGTGGGTCGGGTCAAACTCGCTTCGGTTCATCTACGTAGGAGACTCTATGTTGTTGACGACATCATTTCATGTTGTGCATGTCTGGCAGGCGCCGGTTGGAACAATGAGACACTCGAGGGATACGATGGCGAAATGCAAGACAAGATTTCACCCGAACGAAGACGACAAGTGGCCATGTTTGGCGTTTTTGACGGGCAAGTGCTTCTTAACAACAAAACGTATTTGCTGTCATTGTCTCAGTCTCACAATTCTCGTATGTGATGACAGACATGGTGGAGGACAAGTTTCGAAATACTTGTCTCACAACTTGGCGCAATTACTGGAACAATGCAAGGTTGAAGATATTCCTATCGAAATTGACAAGTATCGCAAACAAGGTGGTTACTTGAGAAGGTACAGAGGTGGACCTTTGGAGAGGTTTCATGCAAAGTCAGGCGAACTACCTGATCAAAAAACTTTGTCGCTCGACGAGATGTGCGTTCTCATGTTTCTGCAGGTCAGTTAGCTTGTTTCGCTCATCAGGTCATGACAAGGCTCAATTTGTTTACGAGCTTACAATTGCGACTACATGGACCTTCGCAGGCCGACAACGCGGTGCTCGCAGACGAATCAACAGGCAAAGCAGGATCCGTCGCCACCGTCGCTCTCGTTCATTCCTTGGATCTCCCCTTTTCGATGCCTTTTTACGCATCTCAATTGATCTCATTGACGATAGCTCATTTGGGAGATACGAGAGCAATTTTGGCTTCAACTTCTTCAGGTCGAGCTAGAGCTTTGACTGAATCTCATCATCCAGATTCAAGAATTGAAAGTGAAAGGTTAAGACAATCTGGTACAGGTATAGTCACGGATAGTTTTGGTGAAATGAGATGGGGTGGAACACTGGCAAACACGAGAGGGATAGGTGACAGAGAGTTTAAAACTTTGGGTGTCATTGGTGAACCTGTTATTACGAAAATGGTTCTCAAAGGTGAACAAGCTCTTGTCTCTTTTTTGACACGGAGAGCACAGTGTGAGACTGACTTTGATTGTTCCCCTTTTCGTCAAAGGCGAGGAGTGGGCTTTCCTGGTGCTCGTGTCGGACGGCATTTGTGATGCCATGTCTGATCAAGAAATTGTTGATCTTTGTCGAGGTGTCAAAGATCCTACCAAAGCAGCTCAAAAGATTGTTGGTTTCGCTGAAGATGTTGGAGGGTAAGTTCATTGCGTCTGTGGACTCTCTGTTGATCGATTGAATCTCATCTCGCTCGTTCGCAGAGAGGACAACATGACCGCTATTGTTGTACCCTTGCCAGGTTGGGGCAAAATGGGAGGCATTGACTCTAGTGCTTCAAGACGAGAATACAGGTTGAATCAAAACTCGGGCGCGAGTTCTCGACAGAAACGGATGTGACTCTGACGTGTGCGAGCAAAGTTTTCCGACAAGTTGCTATTGTTGTAGATTGGACACTTTGTAAATATGGTCTTGTTTCTTGTTGTACAAACAATGTATCATGCTACCGCTGTCAGATCAAAGCTCGTCTCGCAGTGGAGATGACTTCTCTTGCGCTCCACTCCTCGTGGATGACGTTTCTGCAGGTTCGGCGACAGGAACTTTCTGACCTACTTCAGGCACTGGACTTGGCGCTACAAGCTCAAGCACAATGTCTTTGGCCGTGTTGATGGTTCGTTTGCAGGCCATTGTCCAAACGCCACAAGCGACGCCACCTGATTTCCCACAGAAACATTGCGTCAAGTCGCGCTCGTGTGGGACCTTGTTAGACTTAGATAAACTGACCGGCAGGAGCTGAAGGCAACCCTAACCACCATGTTGCCGGACCAAACCAGCCAGGTGGCAAGAAAAAGACGGCTTCTTTGCGATGCCAAGACGTGATGATGAAGGGTAACACTGTCGTCAACACGAACAGGAAAGACTTGAACAGTTTGATGAACGCTTGTTTGGTTGCAGTTGTTGAAGAGTCTGGTTTTGCCAATGGACAAAGTCAGTCACTTAACAGCTCGAAAGCAGAACGAGCGAGGCAACTTGCTGGCTGTTTCAAGTTCAGCGACAGCCTTGTCAAGTTTTCTTCTGATTTTGGCCCATTTGCTGAACTCGTCTTGTGAAGATGTGGCTGCCAAGTCTGCTCTCAGTTGCAAAATGTCCTGACGTAGCTGACGATGTTGCTTCGAGTTGCCAGAGCCCGTCAGTTTCGAGTAAGGCGTATAGACCTACAGTGTTGCCGCGTCGAGATGTAGAGATACAAGTATAAATGCGTGTATGCGTATGTGTCAGCGTGAAAGCCCAAGAGTGTAGCATTCGCTGACTGACGAGATCGGCGAGCTTGTCCTTGCCAATCCACGAAACGACTTCAACGCCGAGTGTCACGACAAACAGCAGCACGGCCAAATCCAAGTCAAACATGACCATGTTAGTCGGCACAAGCGTCTTCGGCAGTGGCACAACGCGGACTCGGTGTTGACGACGAGACGTCAAACCCCGCCCGAGTGGGTTTCAGTCTTACCCATCACCCCGTGTGCACACCCGCCCTCTCCTCTGTCAACAAGACACTCGTTTCGCTCTCGAACGAACTCTAGTTGACACGCATAATTGAGAATGCAGCAACCGTTCGCTCGACGAGTTGATCCACTCGCAGCCAAACAAGCTGAACAGTTTCGTCAAGACTTGAACGTCAGACTCATCTGTCCAGACTGTCAAGACGAATCTGTAGGCTTGGTCGAAGAGTTCTCGAGTGGTGACTTGGTGTGCGGCGGGTGTGGTCAGTTACGCTTTTGCCGCCTTCCCACAAGTGATTCGTGCTGACAATGTGCAATGCCGATCTCAAAATCACACATCCAACGTCTTCATTGTATATCACGACAGGTCTCGTGCTCGGTGACAGAATCGTCGACACGAGATCCGAGTGTAAGCTCTTTCTGTTTAGCGCGTCGCCACTCACTCCCCCATGACTCAGCATTTGCCCTTGATGATCTATCGCTTCATCGTTCGCAATTCGAGGGAACTGCTTGTTGACTCACAAATATGTCATCGTTCCTCGTGTTGCCCATGTGCAGGGCGTTCATTCGCCGACTCGGAAGGAGATGACCCATCGCGTGTTGGTGGACCTCAAGATCCTCTCCTCGACGCTTCCGAACAATTTTCGACCATCATTTCATTCAAGGATGGTCACTCTGGTCACGCTCGAGCGTTGCAAATGGCAGCATCACGAGTCACGAGAGATTCAGGTGGTGGAAGAGATTTGCAAGCCGCTTTCAGAGAAATTGAATCCATGTGTGATTTGATTTCTTTGCCCAAATCAATCGTTGACACGAGTAAACAATTGTTCAAAAGAGTTGACGAAGAAAGAATTTTGAAAGGTAAAAGGCAAGAAGCCATCATTGCCGCTTGCATCTTTATCGCTTGTCGACAAGGACGAGTGTCTCGAACGTTTCGTGAGATTGTCGCTTTGACCAAAGTGCCTAAAAAGGTTGGTTTTGCCACGGGCAGTAGCCTATGGCTGGGCATCGAGCCAATGATTGAGTGCTCGTGACAGAGACTGACCAAAATACAATTCTTGTCTGCGATAAAAGGAAATCGCCGATGTATTTAAAATGCTCGAACGAACATTCGAGATGGCTGGTGGACATGGTCAAGCTCCAATGTCGACTTCGTCATCAACAACAGACTCACTCATCACTCGTTACTGCAACCATCTCAACCTTCCAGTGCCTGTTCAAAGAGCGGCAGTGCATGTTGGCATCAGAGCAAACGAGGAAGGAGTCCTGACAGGTCGTAATCCAATCACGATCGCTGCTGCCAGCATTTTGTTTGCGACAACTTTGTGGGGAGTGCCTGCACCAGCCAAAGACATTTCAACAGTCGCGGGTGTCCAAGACGGAACGATTCGTTACGCTTTCAGGTGAGATACTCGTATCGATATACATCTTTTTGAGGCACTGCAACCCGATCAAAAAGGTGACCGTGATCGTTGGGGTTTTTTCTTCTTCCCGAATGGGTCACAGAATTCTCGTTGGCGTCAAAGAGAAACTTGTCGATGAAAAATGGTTTGATGCATCACGACCTGAAGGACAGAGAGCGAGTTATGATAATTTGCCGGAATACAAGAATGTAAATGGTGTAGGTGAAGCTGATGGAGCCCTAGTCTGAGAACTCCCGTTCAACTCGCTTGTCGTCTCGGCAGTTTCGTGTTCGCTCTTGAGCTTTTTTCTTCAACAAGGGCTGCTACCTTCTATATATGTTGTCAATCATATCTTGTGAGCGCATTTTACGAAAGCCTGAGCAACACAAGCCGCCACGTGTTGTTGATTCGGCAATTGTCGCCTCAAATGCGAGCGTTGTGCGGACGTCGCACACCTGGGCTCGCTCTCGAAGAATTAGATCAGCATCATCATCAAACGATTGAGGCTATCCAATATTCATGAGAAATCGCACTGACTCTACGACGGACGAGACTGTCAACCGCAATTGTCAGTGGAAAATGGGGCTGAATTACTCGCGCATGCAAACTGTTTTGCCTTTTAAATACTGAGCAACATATCCGCGTCCTTGAAAGTCGAAAAATCGCAAAAATCAAGATGGCATGTAATGAGGTATATGTACTGCAAAGTTGGAAAATTTTGACTTCCAAAGTGAACTTGGCTTCGTGGCGAAATCGGTAGACGCATGAGACTTAAGATCTCACGCCTGAGGGCATACGGGTTCGACCCCCGTCGAAGTCACTTTTTTTTTGTTGATTTCGTGGGTGCCAGCTTTGGGGTTGTTCTGCTTTTCACTCGGGTGATATTTTCACTAGTTGTGGAGCATGAATTGGCACGAAACATTTTCTGACCCTTCCAATTTGTTGACAGCCCGACAGTCTTTTCTTCTCGATCGTGACTGAAGACGGAGTGCGAAGCGTGTGCAGCCAAGTTTAGTGTGTCATGTGAAATGTCGTGCTGATGATTCTGGCCATGCATTACAACAATCATTGACGTTCACTGTCATCTCACGTGGATGTTTCAACTCTACTGCTCAAGGTGCACTCGACAATTCCGGAAAGCTAGCAGATTCTGCACGCGACAGCATGTTGCACAGTCAGCGTGGCACTCAGCTCTGATCAAAGATTTAGTCAGAGGATGACTGACCTTGTTGAGAATTTTTGTTTCTCTTGACTGGCACAGCGTCATCGACATGTTGAATGACGTGAAACCGAAGCTGACAGCACACATGTAGACAGGGCATTGTCAGCGGCGCTGGAGGAGGTGATCAGAAGGATCATAAAATTTCAGGTCACATCTGTCGCATTCTCGAACGCTGCCGTACAATAGCGCCAACGGCAAGCGAACGGGAGCAACTCGGATGCCGGTGCTGCCTGCGTCAGCGGCTCAAGTTCCGACATGTATGCAGTCTCGTTGTCGTAGGCCTCAGACTCGGCGCTGGAGGCCCTTGAGTTGAGAAATGGGCAAACAGACGACCTACTGCGACGAACAGCGACGATTGAAAGTCTCCTCTCACGTGACTTTCAAATTTAGCATGTGAGCACGATCTCACAGGTCCAACGCTACCTGGCGCTTGTAGTCAAATAATCAACAAAGGAGTGCGTGCAACTCATGTTTGACACTTTGCATATTGTACATTGTGAACTGCGGGCCGATCGCACGAGCTCGTGTTTCAACGTTGCCTTCCCGCACGCACGGCCGCACGTCATGTCGTCCAGAGCAACGACGTCTCGCGTGTCACTGGAAGACTGGGACTCGTTAGCACCTTTGTCAGCGCAAGAGAGCGCGTCAGTGTCGCGAGTGTCGGCTGCCGCTACTAAACGCAAGTTGCCAGTCCATGTAAGTCGTCCTGACACGGAGCTGGCGACACCGAAACTCATTGAAATGCTGAGACAATGACGTCGCAGCTCACGCAAACTCAAGCTGTCAATGGCTCGAGCAACAACGGCCTGCGAAGTGGCACGCCCATTCTGCGCAAGCCGTCACACATCAACTTGCATCGCGTTGGCTCACCATTGTCGAGACCACAGTCGGCCTCAGGCAACCGTGAACTTGCTGGCACAGGCAAGAACACCGTGGCAACGCTTGACGATTCGCTTGACGTGCTTGAACCTATCGAAACGACTCAACAGTTTCATGATTGGTTCACCAAAGTGGAACGAAGCATTGAACGCGGTCAAGAACGTGTTTACAGACAACATGTGGACGAACTTGATCAATACATCGGCAGCTGTGACATCGTCCTGGAGCAGCTGGACGACGCTAGAGCCTTGTTGAGTGAGATGGAGGCAAACTTTCGATTTGTAGAAGACAATTCTCGAGCGTTGCAACTCGCTTGCGAAAACATGCTTGACGAACAAGTTAGTCTCACACAGACGGATTCATACGAGCGGCAGCTTGCTGACGTCCTGGTTGTCTTAGAAACATCTTATCGAGGTGACTGAAGCGATCGGAGCTCGACTCGAGTACTTTCGCGAGCTTGAGACGGCAACACGCATGCTGAATCTGCCGGGAGAGGAACTTGTGTTGCAAGAGGACTTTTTGAATCTGCTAGACAGGCTTGATGCTTGCCTTGATTACCTCAAATCGAATGTAAGCATCGAGCTCTGCGGTCCGCACTCTGTTACGATGATATTGACCCACTTGATGTCGACAGCGGGATTTCAAAGACGCCGAATTGTACATCATTCGCTTTCAACAATGTTTGACGAGATCAATGACACTCATCAAGATGTACTTTGTCTCGACGATTCGAAAGTTGACAACCGAAGTTCAGGACAAGATGGCAGGCAAGGTACGTCAATCTGATGTCACACACTTGTGAGCATAGGGAAATGCTCACCTGTTGGCTGTCGGCGCAAACAGGAACTGTCCGAGACGGCTTTGAACGCTTTACTCTACGCAAAATTCTCCTCCGCTGCAGAAACGCTAAAGATTCTCGTGTCAGAGCTGGAGAAACGCGCTATAATTGACCCAAGAGAATACAGCGCATTGCTTAATGAATGTTACGGATCTTGGTTCAATTCGAGGAGTGCTCTATTGTCGTCTTCCTTAATTGAAGAAGTCAGAAGAATGGATCCTGCGAACAGCGATTTGATCAAACTTGCTAGGGCAGGATGCAATCACCTGAGGTCGGTCTGCATGAGCGAATGGTCACTGTACAGACAAATGTTTTCGAGCGGTGAATCAGAGGCATAGTGAGTTTTGATCTCTTGAGATGAACCACTTGACTGCGCCGTGAACTGAGTATCCGGACGACAACGCAGTCGTTTCCTTGAGTCGTTGTGCGACTATTTATATGACTCACTGCGTCCACGTATTCTACATGAGCAACGACTCGAAGCTTTGTGCGAGCTGTGCACCGTCTTGAGCGCTATGATGGGACTCGACTCGAACGCGATTGATGACGATGACGACGATCCGGATCAAGAAGTCGGACCATCTGACGACTTTGCAATTGGTGGCGTTTCGACGAAAGTGTCTGTTGGACCTTTAAGATTTAGTGTGTTGCTCGAAACGATTCAACAAGATGCTCAAACTCGACTCGTGTTTCGAGCTCAAGCCGTCATACAAGCCGAGGTTTTGCATTACTCTCCCACTTCAGAAGATATTAAATATCCAGAAAAGCTCGAAGCTCATAAACACGAGGCCTTGACTTTGTGGACCGAAGACGAAAGGATGAGAGAAACCGAAGTTGGTGGATTCAGGATGCCAAGGGAAGAAGTTCAGGTCACTTGGTATCCGACGTTGAGGAGGACGATCTGGGTTTTGTCAAGGCTCAACACTTATGTCAATGTGAGCTCTTGGCATTGTTGTGGTTCGAAGGACGCTGGCTGACGATCCCTGCGCGCGCGCGCCCCTGAAACGTTGCAGAGTGCTGTTTTCGAAGACTTTGCTGGCGAAGCAGTCACACTGTGTCGCAAGTCGTTGTCTACGGCAGCAGCACAGGTTGGAATGAGGTCGCCAGAATCCAGAACAGATGGGCAGCTGTTTCTCATCAGACACTTGCTGTTGCTGAAAGAGATGGTCCGGTCGGTCGATTTGACCCACATCGAACGCGCTGCCGATTTTTCGACCGTCACGGGTGAGTTTGGGAGGCTCCACTTGTGAAAATTTGCTCTTACTGAATTCTATGGCTCCAGATGCACTCGTCAACCTCTTGCGCAACACTTCAGCGATCTTCAAGCCGAGCGCGTTGTTTGAGCTCGCTGTCAAAGGCATGCCGAATTTTACCGAGACCATGACGGATGCAAAGACGGTGAGTGTACCGGATCAACCCTCATCTAGATGCGGGCACTGACCGCGATATTATGTCGTTGCTGTGGCTTGCTCGCAGGACCTCGACGGAGCGCTCAAACGCGCTTGCGAGGAACTCATCTCAGACACGTCCACGCAAACAGCGCTTTCGATCAAGCAATTCTTAGAAAAGTGCACTGCTTTCCTTTCGGCTCCAAACGGTCAAGAGTTGAGTGCTCAAGCATGGGCGACATCAGAACAGGTTCTCGCATTGTATGACGAGTTCCAAAAGGGCGTCGATGCCAAGGTCACAAGCGTCGTAGACAAAATGTGGCTGTACTTGAGCGATGAAAAGACTGTCGGAGTGTTGCTGCCGCCTCTGCTGGTGAGCACAGCCGGAGTGTTTGTTTGTTCCACTACCGCTAATCGATTTCTGTTTCGCAGGATGAAATCGTCGAGACGTATTCGACTTTTTTCAACCGTGAGAAGCTGTCATTTCTTTCTCATTCTTGCCAACAACGGAGTTAACGAGGTCTGCCTTCACAGTCATCCGGTCAGAGTACCCTTTCGACACGAGTTCCTCTCTTGCTCAACCGTCCAGTGTGAAGGAAGCGCTCGAAAGGGCTAGTCGAGCTTCCCCTGCGTCGTAGGCGAAAGGTTTTCTCACAATCTGATATTACAACAACAAAGATGTTTGACAAGTGGCGGCAATCTTGTGCTTTCGAATCATGATCTAGCTTCAGTGTCCAGCATCGAGAGCAACTTTGCTCTAGCTTTTTGAGCATCTGCACGACCGTTTGTTCTTCTCATGACTTCACCAACAAGTCTCATGAGGACTTTGATTTGACCTTTTCGGACTTTGTTGGCTTCAGCGGGTAAATCATTGATCACTTGAGCGCAAACGTCATCAAGACTGTCAGTTGAGGGGGATGCGTTAATGGATTCGGTGACAAGCTGAGGCAACGTTCTCAATGGGTTTGGCTTGGCAATGAAATCTTTCAACAGAGCTTTGCCGAACGTGCCTGATTTGGCGGAAGCAATTCAGACATCAGCACTTGTGTAAGCAAGGTGGCTGAAAAAAACCCTCGAGTCGCTTACCTGTCAATCTGCCCTGAGTGACTGCATCAATCAAAGTCCCCAAATCTTGAGGATTCACGGGAGAGGATGCCAACGTCATGTTTGACTTTGACAATGCTCCTAGCAGTTCGTGAATGACCCTACCAGGAGATATATCATCTATCAGTGAACCCAAGTCATCATCTGAGGACGCAACCACTTAATCCTCTTACCAGTTTGCGGCGGTTTGAGCTTCTCTGCCCTGAGCCACTTCCTCAAAGAATCTCATGCCTAGCCCGGCCAACGACTCGAGTTCTTCACCATGAGGCTCATCATCCATGCGTTCACCGAGAGCGACGAGGATTCCAGCTTCGCGAGAAGCTAAACCGTACTGTCGTTTGAGACGGGCAAAAGCTTCATCGGGCAGCTCTGGTAGGCCGTCTCGCAGC